CACACATAAAACAAGTATAGATATGTATACATTTACATATAATAGAATTGGGTTGAAGTTCAGGTTAAGACTAGAATTGGAAAATATGAACCTTATTTAACTTCAGATTGGTTAAGATTGAGACTTTGGCCAACCTGACCAACTCAAACTTGACATGTCTTCTTATGTAAAATCTATATATCTATATAGTACCAATGAGCTATCGAGATTGTGGATTTTTTCTTGAGAGAAACAGCCCATATTTTTTACTTCTAAGATATTTCCATTTGTGGAGGAAGGCAATAATGTCAATTTAATTCGTTATAACACTTAATAGCATTTATTTTCTCAATAATTTTGCTGATAAATGTTGACTGCTTTTCAAGTTACCATTATTTATTGAAAGGAAATAGTTCTTATAGTGATAAATTGAATTTCCTTCCCACTACTCTCTACCCGCCTTGAATTGCAGCCACACTCCGTTTTATTCTTTTGATTGATCTAAACAACGAAAACATAGCTTCCTTCACATTGATGATTAAGAGGAGAAAGAGAACTTCAATACCTTCTTCCCAAGAAGATAAGGAAACAAGGGAGAAAGAAAAACCTTAAATGGATCGGGACTAAACGTCTTCTCCGCTTGGAGTGGCAATAACATTATTGTCTGTCTACATGCAGACCCTCCACTACCCAATGCCTCACATTAGGTCTCTTGGTTCTTATGCTTGGTCTGCTTCTAAGAAAGGGTCTAATTTGCAATCTCCCTTAGTCTCCAAGATTACAAAGAATTAACCATGGGTTGTCTTTCTGCATGTATTGTAGTCTTAGATATTGGTCTGCTTCTAAGAAAGGGTCTAATTTGCAATCTCCCTTAGTCTCCAAGATTACAAAGAATTAACCATGGGTTGTCTTTCTGCATGTATTGTAGTATTATCTACTTTTGTTCTTGGGTGGCCAGTTGTTTGAAGGAAGTTTTAAAAATCTTTGTTTTGTTTTTTAACCATAGCTTTATTCTGGATTATAGTTTTAGAAAAGCTGTATATAAAAAAAATATATTTTTTAATAAGTATTTCTTAGGATTTACATGTAAATAGTGTATATATATATAATGGAATTAATGAAAAGAATCCTATATTAGAAAGAAATGAAAAGTGCGAAAAAACTTATATGCAAGAATGACCCATAACACAATAGTTTATGCTTTTGGATTATAAGTAGTGTCTATCTCTTTTGTGGAAGTCGCGCGGCTTTTGTTATTTATATATATGGATCTAGTTGTAAATGGAAGGAGCTTCTTGGTATCGGACTTCTATAACGTCCTTCACGGAGATACACAAGAGGTAGCCCTTCCCTCCCTTAACCCCCAACTTTGGTGGTAATGGGATCAGATTCCAAATTTCTACTCCAACAAATCAGAGAACCTATCAACTGAACCATTTGGTGGGACATTTCCCAAGTTGAGGGAGCACATTCCGCGTATGTGTATTATGGCAGGTTAAACCCGACATACACAATAAATCTCATAAAAAAGGAATTCCTCACCTACCATGAAGTACTCGTAAAACTTCCAAAGCTCATGGTCATATATAGAATGCCTTTGTGGCATTTAAATAAAAATAATAATAACAATGTTGTCTTGGTCTTTAACTTTCTAGTCCTTGGCTAATACCATCCAATTTCCAAATTAATGGGTGGAATTGAATAGGAATTTGGTCAATTTGTAATAAAAAATGATTTTGTAGATGTTAAGCATTTAATAATAAAAAAAGTGTTTTGAGGATCATCACCATATAAAATATCATTATTGTTGTTTTATAGTTAAGTTAATTATTATGAGATAAAAGAAGTGAGTAAATGGTGATATATAACTATAAAAAAATCCTATCTATCATTCTATCAGAAATAAATGAATAAATAACTTTACTTGAAGCTCTATCCAATTGCAAATTTGCAGCATGGTTTGGTAGTGGACTTAATATTCGAATAGATGTTCAACCATCAAGGTCTATTGGTGGTTAGTTGCACCGTTTCTGGTCTATTCATCACTTTGTCATGGTGCCTTGTCAGTCAAATCGGTGACCCGCAACCGATAGGCAAAAACGGTTAGGCCTCCAAATCAGTTTTTAAAATACTTGTATAGAGCCAATTATATATTGCATCCCTCTTCTTACACTTGAAGCTCTTCATCAGACCTTTACGACTGTTGATATCAATGATTCTTTGCCCAGATGGTTGCCCTCATTGAGGGGATGTTGAAGCTCAATGTTGATGAATGGGGCCAATGGCCCTACTTCCTCAAGCATTGGTTTGAGATTTTGGAGATCACCTTATTGGTAGTTTTGTATATGCTAGTTAGACCTCTTCAGATGTCTACCTCCAGTGCTTTAGTTATTGAAGCTTTTGCTTTTCTAGAAGTTAAGGGCCTGTTTAGCAAGTCTTTTTGAGAAGATCTTTTCATAGTTTTGACAGTCAATAGATGTATTGAGCTTTTGACATAAGATCTGGGCAGTTCGAAAATCGTTTGGTAAATATACATCTTTCCGTGTATCATTTCGGGTCTTTTCATGCGAGATTAAAACGTGGAAGACACGGGAAACTTCATTTGAAGCTTCCCAAAATTAGCCCAAAATAGACTTCTCATGTCTTTTTGACGCCCCATCTTTTGACAGCGAAATCTTCTGCATACCAAACAGAAATAAACTGATTTTCGGTCTTCTTAACTTATAAACAGCCAAAAGATGATACAGAAAGATACACCAAACGGGGTCTAGGTTTACATGCAATTTGCTGCCGAGCTTGGTATCTCGTATATAAATCTTGATGGCCATCCTTTAGTTGGGACATCCTACAGAAGTCCCGAGGTGCATTAGAACCACTATTGCATATTGCAAATTAAGGTTATTCATTGTCCTCCATATTAATCAAGCCGCCCACTCTTTGGCTGTCTCTTGTCCAACATTCATGACATGACATGATCAAGCCGCCTACTCTTTGGCTCCATTTGCTGTGTCTTGTCCAACATGACATGACATGGACTATCATTTGTATTCCAAGCTTTCTTAGAAATGTTGTATCCATTGATTCATTTTCGGATGATTGATAATTTGATATGAAACAATTATATGTTCAAATTGCAACAACATATAAATATATATACACATTAAAGAGTGAAAGCATATTCAATTTCAAAACGTGAGTATGCATAGGACTCGCCTATACACTCTCGATTCAAAGTAAATTTGCACTCTGGTTCATTTTTGCATGTATTTGGCAACATTACATCTATGCATTGATAAATGATAGACAAATGCATAATATATATATATATATATATATATTAAAGGAAGGTTTTCAGGCTATAGCCTCCACCATCTGGACTTTTGACTTTTTCAAATTTAGGCACATGGCATTTTATGAGAAGTTGTTAAAATCCACAACCCATTGTCACCATTCAAATTTAGGCACATGGCATTTTCTAAAATGCTAGACGTGTGGCAATTTCTGAGAAATTCCTACTAAAGCCCATAGCCCATTATCAGGCTATAGCCCCCCACCACACATGCCCTTCTCATTTTATTTGAAAAGTTAGATATGTGGCATTTTCTAAAAAGATGCTGCTAAAGCCCACAACCCACTACCACCATTTTCAATCCATTCCTAAAAACTGTAGAAAATGAAAAATTGGTTATTCACACCACTTTCAGTTAACCATTAACCCTCTACGTATCATAACAAAAGAAAACTATTCATATTCTAATAATTATTGAAAAGTTATTTTTTGAAATTTTAATAATTATTTAAAATATTAATAAATATAAATTTAACATTATTGATTCCATAATGTAAATTTAACATTATTCATTCCATAATGTAAATTTAACATTATTGATTTCCCGTAGTTAGTACGGGGTCATTCACTAGTTTACATTGATAATAAGATGTAAAAGTACATAATAAAAAAGAAGTAAATTTGCATTCAAGTGGGCTTTTGATAAAAAAAAAGGCACATGCTTTATTGGAATTCATGTTTGCATCCATTACAACTAAGATATGTTTGGTAAGAAGATAAATTTGTTAGTGCAAAACTAACATAATTTTGCAATTTATATGAACCGTTTTACACTCTACATATTTGCATTCACACTTACAACTCAATCGCCCAGGTCAGCGGTTTATTGACCAAATCAATGTTTTTTTGACAAAAATTATATTTTGGAGAAAAATGGTTGATTCCCGGTTTTTCCAGTCCGACTGTCCGGTCCAGTCCGTTTTTGAAAACCATCGGTTAGACCATTTATATTAACAAGCTATGTTACATTAAAGTAGAGGTGGCAACTTCTTTTAATTTTCTAAATCAACCCACTTGACCCACCTAATTGTAACCTACCTATTTAATACGTAGGCGTCAAACGTGGACACAGCCAAAATTTAGGCCGTGATTGACGTGGACACAGCCAAAGGTTAGACCAAAATGACTAGGCTTCATTCTATAGACCCAAAACGAACAAGAAGACGTATAAGAGATTAGACCGTGCTTGACCTACCATAATACTACAATATAGACCCGTAACAGGGAAGTGTATGAAAATTGCATGTGATTATGAAATTCCATTGTCAACCTGGGGTACTCAGAGTCGTTCAGTGCCTTGATCTTGGTGTCTTAAGGGTCTGTTTGGTTCATAATTAGAATCAGAATCTGAATGATCTATTCCCATGCATAGTTTGTTTGATTAATTCATACAAGAATCATGGGAACGAGAATTAAAATCAGATGGAATGAGATTTTCTTCCTTTTCAAGGAAAGGGGGAGGGAACGGGTATTCCTTCAAATGGGAGAATACAGAAAATGAGAATGGACCAACCAAATAGTTGGAACCGGAATGACCTATCTAGCATGTCAAGCACGCCTACGCCTTTACGCTGAGTGCGTTTTTCCCCCAAACTGTGGCAACGACGTCCCTGGATATGCTTATAAATAGGAGACGTTATGGGAGGCCAAAACCAACAGAGATCAACAGAGATCAGCTCCTTCCATTAATTACAACTCCAAAGTGATTAAGTGAAGGAGAGTATTTTTCAGTTGCAGTCTGATGGCCCCTCGGGTTTCCTTTCTGCTTCTGTCATCTTTTCTTCTTCTCCTGCTTCTCTTGCTACCCAACAAAATTCAATCCAAACCAAGTGGTCAGCCCTTCAAGTTCCTGCACCATCTGGAGGGATGCCACAAGGGTCAAGACCTAAAAGGAGTCCACCAGCTTAAACGATACCTCGAAAAATTCGGATATCTGAACTATCCACCTGGAAACAAAAGCCTCACTCATGCCGACGACGACGAGTTTGACGAGCTACTAGAATCTGCAGTGAAGACATACCAGCTCAATTACCATCTCAAGGTCACCGGGAGTCTTGACTCCAAGACGGTGCAACAGATGATGATGCCCAGATGCGGCATCCCAGATATTATCAATGGCACGACCTCAATGCGATCAGGAAAGAAGAACCATCATCATCACCATGGCCCCAGCTCTCTCCATACAGTCTCCCATTACACATTTTTTCCAAACAACCCAAGATGGCCGCCTTCCAAGACTCACCTAACCTACCGATTCAGGTCCAGTGTCTCGGTTGTTGGCTTGCAGCAACTGAGGTCCATCTGCTCAAGGGCTTTCTCGAGGTGGCAGCAAGTGAGCCATTTCACATTTGAGGAAGTTCAGAACGGTGCGGCCTCAGATATTGTGATTGGGTTCCACAGAGGTGATCATGGGGATGGGTATTCCTTTGATGGGCGTGGGGGGACTCTAGCTCATGCTTTTGCACCAACCGTAGGTCGGTTCCATTATGATGCAGACGAGAGCTGGAGCACTAATCCCCAGCCTGGAATGTTCGACTTGGAGTCTGTTGCAGTGCATGAAATTGGCCACCTTTTGGGTCTTGGCCACAGCTCGGTACCGGAGGCCATAATGTATCCTTCTATTCCTGACGGAGCTGTGAAGAGGAACCTCCATGGGGATGACGTCCAGGGCATACGCGCCTTGTATGGTTTGTCTAAGTAATTATCTGATCTATCTTAAATAACTAATGAACAAATTAATAAAGGATGTGCTAGCTAGCCATCTCCCTCTCCCTCTCCCTCTCCCCCTCATATATATCGAGATATATAATGTATTAACTGAAGATCGACTGAAGCAGTTTTGTTTTAATTATATATCAATGTTCTGAGATCAATAATTACTATTAAAAATTTCAGTTATATATACTTTCTACTACTTGGGGCTGGGATGGAAGGTCTATTGAGAAAAGGTTCTCAGTTATTGAGACACCCAATGTCAAGGTAAAGGATACAGTTGATGGACAAGAAGATCTATAGAGAAGCATCTATCTATCTCTGTGTCTTACTCCTTATTAATCCAGAGGGGGAAATCGAATTGATGGGCTCAACAGAAGGATACCCTTTAGGTTAGCTTGAGACTAAAAGCTGGATATAGAAGATGGTAATAAGGGGTATGGGGCGGGAGACGAACATGCAGCATAAATTAAACCTTGAGCTGGACTGGACATAGATGGGTAGGAGGAAAATGCCGAGGTGTTTGAGATAATTCTTCAATTCACACCCACAAACTTGCTAAAGATGTATAGGATATTCATAGTTTGCTTTGCAAAACGAAGGTAGATCCACATCGAATACTATTTTTCAAGGTTTTTAAAATCGACCCGGAGAACGAACTGATCAGGGGTCCCGTTCTCGGGTCGAACGGTCGACCCATCCTGGCAAAAAAAATTTAAAAATTAAAAAAAATAACAAACGGACAAAACCGTTTGAACGATTAACCACCTGAGTTGACGGTTTACTGACCAAAATCAACAGTTTTTAGAAAAATTTAGTTTTCTAAAAAAACAAAACCGGTTCCCGGTTTTTCCAGTCCGACCATCTGTCCGTCCGGTCCGATTTTAAAAACCATGCTATTTTTCATGAGAGGACTTTGGCTGTCTACGTTTCATGTTAGCTTAGCCCATATGAATTCCATGCCGCAATAGTAATGGTATTAAATAAGGAGTTGTTGTATGGACCAACGTGTCAAGCAAGTAGAGCCCTGTGGACAGCATAGGGTGTCAAATAATGTAGAGAGCCAAATTTTATTCAATACCATCCAATTTTCAAATTGAAAGTCCAAGACATAGGTGGTGTTTGGCACGTATTTTCAGTGTGTCTTTTGGCATGCAGAAAGCTCAAAAGACCAAAAAATGGTCTTTTCCATTTGGTATTCCATAGACCAAAAGACGTGAAGATGAGCACATGTAAGATTAAAAAAGACTATAATAAGGAAGTTTCAAATGAACTTTTTGGGTCTTTTCCATTTGGCATGATGCTGATTTTCTGAAAATCACTGCCATGTCAGGAGCCACATCAGCGCTAGAGGAATTGGTGCTGAAATTTCTATTTGGTTGGCCAATTTTGGAAATCAATTATTGGTATCAGCCATTTTTAAGGATCATCTTTTTTGGTGATTTCCCGATTTTTAGTTGATTCCAATTTTTTTAGAAGATGATATGGCATTGAATAATAGTTCTAGCACAAAAAATAATTAGCCCTTAAGTATCAATACCAAACAGGCTCAAAGCCAATTTCTCAAAAATTAACTTACATGGAAAAAAATATGCCAAATAACAAAATTTATCGATTTTTGAAGAAATACTGATTTTTGAAAAATCAATAAGAAATAACCAACATCAATGCCAAACATCACCTTGATCTTTCCACGCTGAAAATTGCCTCCCAACTGCCTGGTAGACCATGATGTCAACCAAACGGTCTACAGGACCGGACCCCAAAAGTTCAACGCGTCTTCTTTGAAAGGTTACCTGTAAAGACTTATCAAATAACCTCATCTATTGGCTGTCCCAAGTAAACCCATGCAATTATCAAAAGAAGTAAACACATGCAATCAATGAAATTAATGGGGTTTAATAGAAAATGGGAAGAGGTCATGTGGCATGGAAAAAAGATTTCATATTTGCTATTTAATTAATAAAGAAGTGTTTGGTTGAGATTCCTTTTGTGTTTTTATATTTTAATTCAAATATAAAATAAGCCACATACATGAAAAAGAAGAGAGGAAGATCCATGCGAACGGTGTGGTGATAGAACTCCTTGTCTCCGTTTTTCCTCTGTATAATATAGTTAAGTTATAGACGCCAATACTTGCATTTACTTCACATCCAGTGATTCAGACCACCGTGCAAAGTTTTTTTCTGGTAACCAAGAATTTCATTAAACAACAAAGAGAACTACAACCGAACAACACAGATACATCAAGGGCTAAAAGCACAACAGACAGAAAAAAAAAAAACAACAAACAGAAAAACTACAGAGCAGGAAAAAGAACAAATTAACACACAGTAAGGTGAAAAATAGAATAAAACCAAGCTGGAAAATCTGAGTCCATCCAGCATGAGTGAACAAAACCCAAATTTGCTAAATTGTGCGCAGTCACATTCGCTTCACGAGGAACCCAGCTAAACCGGACAGAGAGGTCCTTGTTTAAACTCAAAATATCATTTGTGATGAAAACCAGATCTTGGTGAGAGAACTTTTCTGGCTTGAGAGAAGTTTGACCAGCTGCAAGCTATCAAGCTCCACCTCCAAATTCTCCATACCTTTCCTCTTTGACGCTTTTAAAGCTTCAAAAAGAGCAAGAGCTTCTACAACTAAGAGGGCGTTCTTTTTTTGGATTTTGAGGGGGGGAAAGTTGGTCAATGGGATTTTGGTTCCCATTGACCAAGAATCCCATGTTCATTTTTCAGATTAATGTAGGGATGAGGGGAAGTTTATTTTCTTGGGTATCTTATAGGTGGGTAAATAACTTTTTCACCTAGGGACTTGTTTGCTTTTCGGTAAGTTATTTACCCATGAAAATGCAATTACCTAGGTAAATTTTTCCTAAGAAACACTTACCCAGGTAAGTGCATTTACCCATGTTTTTTTATATCCCAGGTAAATAAGGCAATGATAGAAATCCATTATTAAAAGAGGTATTTTTGTCTCATTCAAATGTTGACAACTTTCTTCTTATGTGTGAAAGTTATTTATCCACTTAGGAGATGGATATCACTTTCCTAGGTAAGTGGTACCCAAGAAAAACTTACCAAGATAATTACATTTCCCCGGGTAAGTAACTTATCGAAAAATGAAAAGGGCCTAAGGGTGAGGATGCAACAAAAGAGCCACAGCCTACTCATCAGCACAAACTAGTATTATCTCTTGCAAAAAAACCAAAAGAACCTTTATTAGGAGACAAAAAGCCACCATCCACATTGATCTTTAGAGAGCCAATTCTGGGTGGAACCTAGCAAAAAGAGGGACTGTCTTCCTTTTTAGATTTTGAAGAGTTTCCTGATTCCTGTTGCAATGTCAGAGATATCTCTGCTATGGACATGCTAATAGAACAAATCCCCTTGTAAGGATCTGAAATAACTTCTTCAAAATAAAATGGATTTCGATCTTTCCATAATTTCCAAAGACTTACGATGACACTCTGCACAAAACCATCAACATGAAACTCCTTGTGTAGAAGCAAAGGTTCTATTCAGATATCAAAAGAGATATTAGTATCAATATTATTAGCTCCAAGGCCCACCCCCAAACCAAACACACCTAGCTCTATCACAATGAAAAAGAGCATGCGTTACTGATCCCGAGTCCTTTTCACACCTCATACAAAGAGAGGATTGAATAATCCTTCTCCTAAAAAGTTTTTCTTGGACGGCTAAACCATTTCTGCAACATTTTCACAGAAAGTGTTTGATTTTTGGTTCGACAAGAAGGCTCCATGACGCATTCCAGAAAGCTTTTGATTACCACTGCTACTGAACCGCCGTGCAAAGGTTTAGAGTTCACTTTGGATCATCCCTCATTCCCTCTCTCCTGCATATATAAATGCACGTTTCTCAACTAATGATATCATATGACAGCGAAAAAACTTTCGGTCCTTTTAAATTCTATGTACAATCTTTTAACGTGGATGATAACCCCACACCCCTTGTTTTTGTCAAAATTTTTGAATAATCAATAGGTAGGTTTAACATCCATTGTGAAAAAGTGATTGTACCAATTTAATTGGAGCCAAACTGCCAAAGTTCTCTTCAATCAGCCTTTCAATACATTTGGATTTGATCCTCACACCATCCTCACAGTCTTTAGCAGCAGTGCATTGAGAATATCTCTGTACTTGTATATTTTTATTCATGGAAAGATACTCTAAATGAGGTTTTGTGAGGATCACATCTGATTTTGTGTAAAATGGGCTGGGTCATCACTACACGTTAAGTTTTATTTTCAAAATTTCATTCTTTTTTATTCAATTTTTCTTTATAAAAAAAATCGTGTAGGCCTCCCTCCTTACACCTATAAAGGCAGAGTTGTGCTTAGTCTGATGGACTTGACATGTGGAGGGTCCATAGGGTCCCTACATAATCAACTCCCTAGATTAACATGGTTCATAGCAGATCTGGATTCCATTCTCTCCATGAAGAATGGAATATACTAATATAACAATGAATTAAGATCGGATTCAGTCCTTACAAGGCCATGTTCACACTATCCTCACAGCCACTTACAACCGTATATTGGGAATATCTTCATACTTGTAAGTTGTATATTTTTATTCATGGGCCAATGCACACCTATAAGTGGCTATAAGGACGACGGTGTGAGCACGGTATTGTGAGGACTGAATCCAAGTCCCGAATCAATCTATGTAGGATGATTTGCCACAATTCCAATTAGCTTTATTTATTTTTTAAGAACTGAAGCTACTCAGTTAAATGTTCAATTTGCAACAACATTAGTTATACACGTTAAAGAGTCAATTTCAAAACCTGCTATGCATAATGATGGGTTATTAAAAAATTTTAAACATAAGATATAGTACTTTATGGTATTAGCAAGGATTAAATCGTTAAAGTACCACACTTGGTCTTAGCCAAAAGGCTAAGAAAGGTATTAAGTAGGGTGAAAGTAGAGGTGGCATTCTCTGTCCAAACCCACTTAACCCATCCATTTGTAAACTACTCATTGGATTGAATATGGATTTAGTCACACATTGAATCAAATAAAAAGTTTGGGTGTTTTTTGGTAAAGAAAGTGTTGGGGTTAAGGTATCTATTTGGGTAGCTATATGAAGTTGTTTTGGTGGTACATAAAAAAAATAAGTAAAAAATTCCCTCTTTTTTTTTCTTTCACCCAAAACACCTATCCATTTTCAACCTTGCATACTCCAGTTTCACACTTCATATAAACTACTAAAATAGGAACACCTTGTAATCCAATCTAATTTATAGTTATTTAAACAGTAGATTGTTGTTATTATTGATGAATTTTCAGGATGTATACAGGCTTCTCTAACTCTTAATATATTTTTGCATATTCTAATCATTTGACATATCCATTCATATCCAACGCGTATCACGGATCAAGAAAGCTAAAATTGCCTTGCCGATGTCTCAATGGATACTAATGCTTTGAACCTTGGGCTGAAATAATTTAAGCAGGAAAAAAATCCAAATAAATAAAATGAAGCAGTTTTGTGTATATTTTTTAGGCTAAACCACCCAGTAGAACCAGGAAAAAAGAACCCATTGCATTTCAATGTCCCGTGGAGTTTTCTAAACATGATACCAACCAGGAGTTTCTGCGTGGACTGAATTTGATACCCATCAAAGGACAAAACACAGTTTAATTGGAACTTTTCAAATTTCAACTAAAGGGATTGATACATTACATTGAATTTCTTGTTTGGGATTGTACGTCAACATATGAAGTACAAACACCATGACATGGGAATTTTTTATCACATTTTATAAGAGCTACAGTAACTTTACACTGTCCACCCCAGGAGAACATGGAAGCAATACGACCCTTGGCAGAGGCCCCACGACAAGGAATGGAAGAACAAATAATGATGGGGGAAGCACTAAAACTACAAATATTTACTGAAACTATTATCACAAAATTACAGGAAAACAAATCAATCAATAGGGTGCTTGTCCGCCTGTCGGGACGTGTAATGTGCAGAAAGTAGAAGAAGAGACAGAAAGGCACTAGCCACAAAAATAGCGTCAAACCACCGATGATAGAAATCAAACTGAATGTCTCCTCCCAAAACGTCTGTGATTATCATCCTACAAAGGACACAAATCCTGTCAAATACATCCAATCAAAATATCCATTGGCAAATAGCTGAGGAACAATTACTTAGATCATGGAGGTGACAGAATGTGCTGAAAATCATTATCCAGATCCAGATTCCCAATAAGTAAGATCATTTAGTGAACAAGTTTAGACAAAGGATATTAATGTTCTGTAACAAGTATGAACATAAATGAATGCATGCTTGTTTTTCTATGGCGTAGATGATACACTGCATTATGCTCATACAAACCATTAATTTATGTATATTTTGGATTCTTACACTGACAAACATGTTCAACAATGGAGATTGCTTCATATATCCTATGTTTGCTATTTTAAATGGCTGCTTTGGTTATATATCAAGTGTAAGTCGAAGGTTACACAATTACTTTGTAATACATTCCTAGATTACAATATTTTCATAGTATTCCCATAGTTTCATTGAGTGAAAAAGAATATATATTTTTTAAACCATTCATAAGCACTTTTTAAATTCCACTTAGGCTCAGTTTGGAAAGAGCACAAATACAAATATGTATAGTGCAAAAGGCTCAGTTTGGAAGGAGTATAAATTATACCTGGCAAAAAGTTGATCCAACCCGTGAACCTGACCCGAACCAACCCGAAAAAACAGGGCTAGGGTCTCATATTTAGCTACCCGAATGTGAAATGATCCGACCCAACCCGACCCAACCCGAAAAAACTGGGTTGGGTTGGGTCATGGGTCAACCCGCTGACCCGATTGGCAAGTCTAATTGGGATTATTTATGCAATGTTAGAAGTTTCCACTCTTTAATTTTTTCTATTTAGTCTTTACTTTTTATTGTTTACTCTTTAAATTGTTAAATGTTCAAATTTTTTATTTCGTATTTAGAATTTCAAGGTTAATTCTTTTAATTTTGACATTTTTCATGTAATTTTTCTTTATTTTTTTAATTTCAATTATTTTTTGGGATGACCCGAATTGACCCATGGGTCAACCCTAACCTGAACATTTAGGGTTAGGGTCTACCATTTGTCAACCCAACCCGAAATTCAACCCGACCCGAAATCAACCCAAAGTACATTGACCCAACCCGAACCCGACCCACCCAACCCAATTGCCAGGTCTAGTATAAATACAAATATGTAGATTGCAAAACCTTGTATTTTGTATGTATTTGCACTGTACATATTTGTATTTGTACTCCTTCCAAACTAAGCCTTAGAGACTGAAGTTTATACAGATATTAAAGTCTGGACTTGATTATGCTGACTATCCTGTTCTACAAGATTCTGGATAGTACAGAAGATTACGGTCAATAGAGAGAAGTATTGCTTTATGGCATTACCTATCTATAAACTTGATAGATGTGCAATATTGTACCAAACTACCCATTACTGCAAAGAAATTTATGGGTAAGGTATGGTATTAATGGGGTGAAGCGATCCAAGTAATAATGTTGGTGGGGAGAAGAAAAGATGGACAACTTTGTACCAGCTGCGAGATAGAAGGAAGTGATCGTGGAGAAGAAAAGATTTCTTCTAGAGGAAACCAAGGCTAAAGTTTGTGTAAAATTGAAAACTAGAGAGGTTGAATGGTTGAATGGTTTAAGGGATTTTAGGATGGAGCAGTTGAGTCGGTGAGAACTCTTGGTTGGAAAAATGAACTGAGAAGGGACGGGAAGCTGTACACTGTAGAGAAAAGATGTAACGAGAAGGGTTGGTTTGTAATGCTAACTGAAAGCTTTGGGGATAGGCAGAACTCAGAAGCAGGTTCCATGTCTACCTGAAGGGCAATGGAAACAGAGCTCGATACTCATGACAGAGGCCCTGGAAGAATTTCTGGCTAGGCATTGGAGTAAGAAAGATAACAAAAATAGAGAGGAGGCAACAGAATGTGCCAGTGAAGAAGAAAAAAGGCTGCAGAAGAGGAGAAGCCAGAGAAATATGTATTGGGCTAAAACCGAAGATGGTATTGATAGGTGATAAGGAAAAATGGACCAGAAGGATGGTGGTTTCTACCAGAATGAAGGTGGAAGATTGGAAGGAAATACTGGAAACAGCAATGGAAAAGATTCAGACTAAAGAAACAACTATTATAATACCATTTGAGGAGAAGAAAGCAATTTACAATTTTGGACTTGGGGGGGGGGGAGTTTCAAGCAGACTTTGTCACCATTGAGAAGGACAAGGGCCTCATAACGGTCAAAAACAGATTCCCTTCCTGCAATGAGAGGAAAATCCAAGAGGGAAGTTTAATTGTTAAAATTTTTGGCCTCCCCTTTCATTTTTGGCTGGAGCATGTGTTCAAGAAAATAGGTGCAGCCTGTCGAGGTATTCTTGAAGCCAGAAGCTCTCAGGATCCACATGCCACCAGGATTAAAATTTTGGGAACACAACCTCGAACCTTGGATGTGTTTGCTTAAGGTAGGTGGAGAAAGGCTTTGGCTGGTATCGGAAGATGAAGCTTCGATGATGTGGCATGATGGATCATGGGTGCCACGTGAAGGAAGGAGATGGGAAGAGAAGAAAATACAAGGTGAGGTGGGGAAGGAGGTAAATGAAAAGACGCGGAAGGGGGGTAAGAGAAAATGGGAAGGCTGCGGGTGTCCAAATGGAGAAAGCAATTTAAAAGATTTTGAATATGATCCAGTGGTGGGGGGGAGCATCATATGTGGAGGTGGCAAAGAGCAAACCTGGTGGAGAATATAGAGGGAAGGACAACAGGGGTTGGGAATTGGAACAATGGGGCAGAACTGAGCGGAGACAAAAGGACTGATAAATGGGGCTGAACAGGTTAATTATCAAAACCGGTCCATCTCTTAGACCTGGATCACGTGACACCTTAAATAGTCATGTGAGGGGAGTTGAAGGAGGGCTATTGGGAGACAATTACAATGGTGTATCATCATCCCCCTTGATGAAAAATTTAAGATGACCAGAACCTCAGGCCAGCAATCAGAGTGGTGCTGCAATGGAACCAGCATAAAATCCCTGAACCTGATCATCCCAACCCCCGGTACTCTAGACACAGGAAGGAATAGAGTGAGGAAACAACACGTATAGGGTGAATCAATCTTGAAGAGGAAGGAGGCAACAGTTCTGATGAAGAAACATAGGCAGTGTTGATGAGACACAGCACATTGTGGTGAATCAAGAGGTATGTGATGATGAAGACTTTAACCTGTCAGATTTTTTCAGCTGTGTCAACCAGGAGGTTTGTGATGATGAAAGGTTGGAACTTGCAGTCAACAGCCACACAACCAGAAAAAGTAGATTGGAGGTTCTTGGCAATAAATCCGATTGAAAAATGAGGAAGGAGAGAAGAGAAGGGAAGAAGAGAGAAGAGAAGAAGAAAGAAAGGAAGAAAAAAAGGTTTGGAGCAATGGAACAGTGCTGGCGGCGCCAGCTTCTGTTATATTATATAGGGCGACAGAAATAAGAAGGGAAAAGACTCTTGTGCCCCTGCTGTAAGTGAAGTACAATAATAGAAAATAAAAAAGGCTTTAACTAGCCAAACAGACCCTAACACAAATAACTAAATTATTTCAACACTCCCCCTCAAGTTGGAGCATAGATGTCAATCATGCCCAACTTGTCACACAAATCATTATGCCGCACATGATGAAGACCTTTGGTGAAGATAT